GGTTGTGAAAGGAGACACGTGCAAGTTCCTTTGGCCTTGCCGGCCTCACCCCTGTTCCGGAATCCTGAAGGAGCTGTGGCCCCCCTTTAAACCGACAGTTTGCGACACAGATTCAACTACGAGCTTTTTAACCGCAACAACTTTAATATACGCTATTGATGCTGGAATTACCGCGGCTGCTGGCACCAGACTTGCCCTCCAATTGATCCTCATTAAAGGATTTAAAGTGTACTCATTCCGATTACGGGGCCTCGGATGAGTCCCGTATCGTTATTTTTCGTCACTATCTCCCCGTGCTGGGAGTGGGTAATTTGCGCGCCTGCTGCCTTCCTTGGATGTGGTAGCCGTTTCTCAGGCTCCCTCTCCGGAATCGAACCCTGATTCCCCGTTACCCGTTACAACCATGGTAGGCGCAGAACCTACCATCGACAGTTGATAAGGCAGACATTTGAAAGATGCGTCGCCGGTGCTTAGACCGTGCGATCAGCACAAAATTATTCAGAGTTACCAAATTAAACGGCGGACGAATGGTTGCCCACCCGCCACCGATTGGTTTTGATCTAATAAATGCGTCTTTTCCATCGCTGGTCGGGACTCTGTTTTGCATGTATTAGCTCTAGAATTACCACAGTTATCCAAGTAAATGTTGGTACAATCTAATGAACCATAACTGATTTAATGAGCCATTCGCGGTTTCACCTTAATTCGGCATGCACTGAGACATGCATGGCTTAATCTTTGAGACAAGCATATGACTACTGGCAGGATCAACCAGNTTTCACCTTAATTCGGCATGCACTGAGACATGCATGGCTTAATCTTTGAGACAAGCATATGACTACTGGCAGTATCAACCAAGGAACTTCGTGCTTTTGCCTTTCTCGCAAACTCTTAATTCGGAACTGTACTGTCAACAATTGAACTGTCTGAAGGAAGCGATTGCCCAGAAGCGGCCAGCTTTTGCCAATAGGAGAGAAATTGTGTTCCATCAGGATAACGCCAGGCTACACTCATCGATAGTGACTCGCCAGAAGCTCCGGGAGCTTGGTTGGGAGGTTCTTTTGCATCCACCTTATAGTCCGGACCTGGCACCAAGTGTTTACCACCTGTTCCTGTCTATGGCGAATTTTTTTGCCGGTGAAAAATTCGTCTTAAGGGAAGCTTGTGAAAATCGACTTTCACAGTTTTTTGCCAATAGGGACGAGGGTTTCTATGAGAGAGGCATAATGAAATTACCTTCGAAATGGCAACAAGTTATCGAACAATACGGTGCATATTTGACCTAAATCGGATCATTGTAACTATGTTAAATAAAGCCTCCAATTTGATACAAAAATAATGGATTACTTTTTACTAGACCTTATATGTAGACGGAGAATTCGGCGAACACTACCGTTACCAAATGATACAGAAGAATAAGACGAAGATAACAGCAGAGAGTGGTCAGATTTCGATTTACCAAGAAACAATAATGCTTTCGAAGAATCTTCCGGTCCTAATGTACTTCCCAGAGATGCAAACAATATCGAGGATGTTGTGGAACTATTTATAGGGGACGTCTTGTTTGAATTTATTAGTACCAAAACGATCAGGTACTACGATCAAAATTACACCAAAAGGAAGCCCGATAAAAAAAGTGCAAAATTTTTCAATGTTACGGCAGTCGAACTAAAAAAATGGTTTGGACTAGTTATTCTTATGGGAATCGTTAAAAAACTAAGGATTGACGATTATTGGTCGACAAATCCACTTTTGGAAACACCAATATTTGGTAAAACGATGTCCCGCAACAGATTTCGTCAAATATTATCGTTTTTACATTTCTCGGATAATAGTAACATACCAGAAAATACCGACCGAATGTTTAAAGTACAAGGTATAATTGATTATTTTACAAAAAAGTTTAAAGAAAACCTCAATCTTGGTCAAAATATTACTATCGATGAAGGAATGATACCGTGGCGTGGGCGATTAAGCTTTAAAGTTTATAACCCCTCAAAAATTACAAAGTACTGTATACTTGTCCGGATGCTGTGTGATTCCGTTACGGGATATATTTCGCGTTTCAAAATATACTCTGACATTAAAAAACCTTTAAAGGATATAGTGATAAAACTATTGGAAAATATTACTGGAAAATGGCATCACCTGTATATGGATAATTACTATAACAGTGTGGAACTTGCGGAAGATTTGCTTACCAAGAAAATTCGCGTTTGTGGAACGCTGCGGTAGAATAGAGGATTACCGGCAAAGTTGAAAAACTGCAAACTAAATGTATTTGAAACCAAATATCAGCGAAGAGGAGCAGTACTCGCGCATGTATGGAGAGCATCGAAGACGAAAATAATAAAAACAATTTCTACCATACACAATGGCACTTTAATTGACACAGCAAAAGAATGCCGAAAAACTAATAGAACGATTAAAAACCCAACATCTATTTTGGATTACAATAAATATATGAAAGGAGTAGATCGCGCTGATCAATTTTTAAGCTATTATCCGGAAATCCATAAAAAGGTCAAAGAAAGTGGTGTTATACCTTTTCAATTGCGCTCTATACAACGCGTTCTCACTGCAGCAACATTATAATACAGATCCCAAGAAACTCTGCTTTCATGACTTTTTATTGAAAATATGCGAATCTTGGATAAAAGATCATTTACCAGTTGGTGAAGAGAACTTCGAGATCCTCAGTGCATCGCGTGCTTCCTGTCGTCAATCGATCAACAGATTTTCCGGAAACGTAAAGGAACACCAGCTCATACGTATTTCAGATATCAACAACCGAAAACGCAGAAGGTGTCATGTGTGTTACAAAAACAAAAAAATTACGAGAACTAATTTAATGTGTAAATCTTGTGGAGTTGCGCTTTACTTCGGAGATTGCTTTTCTTCATTTCATTTAAAAAATAAATACTAAGTATCTACCAAAATGTAAATAAACAGATAAACATATTATACAAAAAAATCTTGTACTTATTTACATATCTATACCCCCACAATTTCGAGAAAATAGAGGGACAGAATTGAGACATGGGAACTGACGATAAAATTAGTAAAGAAGAACCTCGAAACACCACCGGCGGTAAGCGATATTATTTAAGTCAGCTCCACCGGCGCCCACAAGAAAATCTAGATTAAACATGCGGACGGCATAGTGTTAATAACATAATTTGGTTCTCGGATGGACTAATAATAGTGGTAAATTGATGAGAAAAGTTATTATAAAAGATACAA